TGAGAGAGTATAAACACATATAAGAAGATATCATATTTAACCTAAAAGATATGTCTATTAAGTTTATGGGCTTCTATATATATATATATATATGAAGATAATGCGTGTCAATCTTGACTTAGAAAAAAAAAAAAAAAGAGTCCCAACTTTAATGGTCACATTTCATTTAATTAAAATTCAATTCAAAATTCAAAAGTGATTGATACACACCCTAGTTTAATTCATTGTACAACATATGATTGAAAGTCATTACTTTCTAATTTAAAATTAAAGGCAAACAAAGTTAATGATGTAATTATGCATACAAGATGCAGGAACCAATTAAATCATTTGAACTTATATTATATTTTGATAGCTGAACTAAGACGAGTGTTTATAAATGTGTTGAACCAAGTATAAACTAATTATTTTCCAATTTAAATAACTACCTTATTAAATGTTGATTCCTATATTTGGAAAGGAAAATTCAATTCAAAATTTAAAAATTCACGTTATTAAATGTTTATACATAGATTTGAAAACTAATTATATTAGGATTTCTAAATTTTAGATTAGATTTTTAACTAAATGAAACCAATGGGATCACTACCACCTAAGATATCCCATGAGATCACTACTACGGAGTCTTTACTACGCTATGGGCTTCTCCACACTCACAATCTTTGATCAAACTCATCCTTCATCACTGATTGCACCATGGATCGAACTATTGGCTTTGATACCAATTATTAGGAGAGTTGACGGGAAAGCTTGGCAACACATGCGTGAGAGAGCACGAACACATATGAGAAGACATCATATTAAACCCAAAAGGCATGTCTATCTAGTTCGTAGGCCTCTACATATATATTGCACTCTAACACCTTGTTTCTCTTCAATGCGGGATTTTGTGCACACACATCTCTCAACTCCACTCACATATGAGCTTTTAAACTCCAACATTTCTTTTAGGGTCAATATGGCATCTGCTCATATGTGTTCATGCTCTCTCATGTGTGCACTCTTGCTTGAGCCAGCTTGCTAAACCTTTCCTAACAAGTGGTATCAAAGTTGATAGTTCAATCTTGGTGTGATCAAGTGTTCGAGGGATGGGTTCAATCAAAATTGTGAGCGTTGAGAAGTCCATGGCATGGTAAAGACTTCACATATGAACAAAGTCTTTAGGTAGATAGGTCAGGTCCACAGTAGTATGGTAAACAAGGGAGGTCTAGTGAATAAGTGAAGTCTGAAATCTGAAATAGTTACACTCATGAGAGAGAGACTCACATGTTCATGGGAGGGAATGTCGGAGTTTAAAGTTCACATGTGAGTAAAGTTGAGAGATGTGTGCAAGATCCCACATTGAAGAAAGACAAGGAGTTAGAGTGCAATATATATGTAGAGGTCCATGAATCTGATAGGCATGTTTTTTGGGTTCAATATGGTATCTCTTCATATGTGTTCGTACTATCTCATATGTGTGCTTCCAAGCCAACCTACTAGACCTTTCCCAACAACGGTGTGGAAGTTTGATAGCAATGGGATATATATAATTCACTGGAAGCCATATTCTTTGTTATGTTCTAATCATCAAATTCTTGATTCTTGACTTCTGTAAGGCTATTTGGAATATTTATGTTTCTAGAAGGATTAGCTTTTTTCACTTGGAGAATGTTTTTCGATAGATTACCGACAAGGTTAAAATTTGACAAAAAGGGGAATTCATGTAGATGAGGGGGATAGTTGCTGTTCAAGATGCCAAAGGAAGGTTGTAACGGACATGTTCTGCTTAAATGCAATTATGCATTCTGTGTGGGATTTACTAATGCACTACCGTATTCAATTCAAGACGCGTTCAGAGCACTAGTATTAGGGATGGTTATAGCAAAGATAAAGAAAGCTTAGTGATTCAAGTTTCAAGTTATTGGATGGTCCATTTGGTCTTTAAGAAAGTTGAAAATTCAGCAAGTGATTTGTTCGAGGCAATTCAAATGCAATCATTTCTTTGGTTGAAAGTAAGGCAATTGGATTCTCTTATATTTTCTTTTATTGAGTGGCAGCAATCGTAGCGCTTGGGCAGAAGCAATTACTTAAAGGGTGTTTGGCAAAATTAACTTAAAGAGTAAATAATTTTCTTATAAATTTGAAAGTTGGTTGGAAAAAAATTTAAGAATTAGCATATCAAATGCTTTTTAAGTAAATTTTAAAAAAGTTACAAATTTAAGTTTTTTCTAGCTTTACTTAAAAATATTTTTAAAAGTCAACTATTAAATTTTTTTCTAACAAAATTTTAAATTTTTTACAAATAATTTATTTTTAAAATAAGTACTTTTTAAATTTGGTCAAACACTCTCTTAATATCTTTGGTGTTTTTGAATGCAAAATGTGTTGAAAAAGGCTGCATATGATTAATGGAGTGAATTTGGAAACGAATTTTAGGGTAAGAGGACCCATACTCCAAAATAATAAAACTTTAGAATTTTCTTGGCTGATATCTGGATGAAACTTCTCTAGACATGATATGATAATTATGGAAAGATCCGGATTAAACTAATTTTCTGGATATGTATGATGAAAAAGATTTTCAAACATATTGAGAAGCTTTTTAATTTATGAGGTCCATAAAAAGGGATTAAAAGGGCAATGGGCCTATTTCGTGGAGTTTGTTGGAATTTTTACTTTTTTTAGTATTATTTATGATTCATAAGTTTAAATTTTTATTAGAGAGAAAATTTAAAAGTTATTTTTAAAAATAATAAAAAGTGAATAAGAAGTGAGTAAAAATAAAAGTTTGTAAAAAATAAAAGTTTGAAACTTTTTAAAATTCATTGTTTAAACTCTTTTTAGGTTAAAAAGAAATTAAAAAATGTAAGTTTTTAAAAGAAAAATTTAAACTTATGAAATATAAATAGTGTAAAAAAACTAAAGTACTTACAAATTTCACCAAACACACTCAATGAGACCCTCAAAATTTGAAAGCATTTAGAAACAATGTCCACCACGTACATTTGTGTGCAATGGAGAAAAAGGGAGTAAGATCGAACAATAAACCTTTTGGATGCTTCTTAATCAGTCAAATGAGAACGCTGACATTTTCTGAATCAACATATTTTATAGTATTCAAAATTATATATGCACGTCAACCTTAAATCAAGTAAGCACGATCCTAGGCAAATCAACAAAAGAAAGAAGTTTTTTCTGGTCTGATATTTTGTTATGTTATTGAAAGTTTTAGGTGTTCAATAGATTGATTCATTTGTATAAGTCTTTTTTTGGGTGTGGTGTCGAGAGGGTACTATAACATCTTGTATTTAGATTATGACATACACACAAGTACTTTTCTACTCTAAATAATAAATATTTTGTAGTTTAAATTTTTTTTAAAATATATTTATTAAAAAATTATTATTTTTTAATATAAAATTTAAAATTAAAAATTAAAAAATATAATTATGTATGAAAACTTGATTAAATTGATTGTAATATTTGTATTATATATATTTTAGTGATTAAACTAACCAAATGTCAACCCGTGTGTGTCAAATAAATTTATATGCAAGTTCTGGTTTTTCATTTTGATTCGTGCTCAACAGTGAAATTGTTATAGCATCGTCACTGTTGGAACATGAACTCCCAATTGGTTTGGAAAATCAAATAACATTGAAAATCTTTAAGCTTTAAGCTTGAAAAATAATTGAAATTAGACGGTTCCAGATACCGGCGGTTGGGGGCTTCTGTTAGTAATATTCTGCAGTAATTCGTCACAAAGCTTGAGATTCCTTAGTGCAATGGAACGATGAAGCATTAGCAGACATCTTGACAGTTTCAGAGAACCTTTTTTTTTATACATTTAAGAGTTAATTATTTTGTATTATAAAGATGTAAATTTTTAATCATAATCCCAAATTAAAAATTTTAAATTAATAAGCATTAATTCAATTAAACTTATATTAATTCAAAAAATATTAATTCGTTCTATTGCACTTTATTTGTATATGGTGGGAGACACTAATAACTACAATAATTAATATTTATTAGTTAATATATTAAAATAAATTTATAACACGATATTTTTTTTATCTTAATTATATAATAAGAAATAATTATTTTTCATTTCTTATCTTATTTCAGTTGTATGCTATATGATTCGAATTTAGAATCTTTTACTTTCGATAAAAAAAGATTATTATTAAATTATTTAAATTATTGATATAATATGATGTTATTAAACACTATAATTTACTACTTAAAAAAAAAAAAGAAACTAATTTTCTGTTACCCTAGCAATTTTATGTACGGTAATAACACATCTGGTGATTGGTGGACCCATGACTCACTGTCCTTGCTATAGCTAGGTTCTTTACCATTCTCAATATGAGAAGATATGTTACAAAAGGTTGTACCTATATACACATACATGTGTTCACATTCTCACCTATTTGTGTTCATCCTACATTATTATGATAAAACCCGCTAATCAGCACGTACAGAAAGAAACATACTACGTACGTTCTCGATTGATCTATGTGTTTTTTCATGTACATGCTTATCATATTCCGTACGCATGTTTTCTTCTTCAATTTCCGGCAAGTTGTTCATCACTGCCTCTGTAGCCATCTTTAAGAATTCTGAAAAATCCCTATAAAATCAAATTAAAAGAAGAACCATCAATATTATAAAAAATTGAAAAATAATTAATACACTAATTGATTTAACATATTTATTGACACTTATAGATTCAGTTATAAAATTTTGTAACTTTAATTTTTTTTACCTTTAATTTTAAATTAAAAAATAATAATTTTTAATAAGTATTTTGTAGAATATATTAAACCAAATTATCTTTATATGAGTGTCCTAAAAATTTATAAATTCAGATATATATTTTTTAATAAGGGCCTAATTAATTAATTAATTAATTAATTAAGGTCATTGTTTTTATATTTTTTCTAGTAAATTAATTAAATACGGTTGCACCATTTTTCTTCTAACCAGTTGAAGGGATAAAGGAATATATATGTACTACGTACATTAATTTCTTTATGTCTTAACCATTTGTTTTCTCATCATATTCAACCAAACATGACCTATTGTAAGTATAGATATACTAACCCTTTCAACGTGTTAAATGTGAGACCAACAGTGTATTTTGCTTCCTCGAGGGCCCATCGGAACCTCTGCAGTTCCTCAACCGGACAAGAACGGTCGTCCTTAACCTGGAGCTGAGATGGCTTCACGTCGCAAAAGATTGGAATAACCTTCTTCCTAGTTTCCATCATCAGAGCCAGCTCGTGTAGGCAAAAGTATGATTCACAATAATGTGGGGAAAAGACAGCAACCCCAACCTTGCAGTGTCGAACAGCATCGTTGATTTTGTCGAACAGCCGGTCGCCAGGCTTCATGTTCTTGCTGTCCAGAAACGGATTGAGCCCAAGGCGGACTAAATGGTGGTAGAGCAACCCAGAAATGGTTCTCCTGGTGTCAATCCCTCGATGGTTAATGAAAACGTCACAGTAGCGATGTAGCTGTCTTGGTAAATTTTTCATTTTTTGGTGGTGGTCGAGCTTAAAGGATTTTACTACCAGATAGTTCTTGGTGTAAGTGATTGGCAACGATGGCTTCTTAGAGAAAAACAAAATGATTCAGGTTCAAATGTTTAAATAATCAGTGATCAGGGGTTGGGGTTGGGTAATGGGTGTGTTTTTAGTTTTAATTGGAGAGAAAATAATATTAAAAAATAAAATATGGTTCAGATTGAAATGTTAGTGATGTGTTTTATGAGGGATGAGGGAGGGGTTGGGATTGGGTTGTTTTATGAGTGATTAGGAGTATTTAATGAAGGAATTTTTTTAACTTATATCTTTAGATATATATTAAGTTTTATTAATTAATTTATGGGAAATGATATTTACACACTTTTTCGTTACACCTTTTGTCACATACTCATTTCGTTTCCATTTCTCTTCGTTTCTTTGTTAATCCAGTAGCTTTCCTCTTCACTCAACACAGCTCTCCTCTTAACCTAGCACTGGTTCTTCCTTCTTTTCCCTCTTCCTCCTTTCTTTTGGAGAACCCAAATTGGGTTCTTAAGGAGAACCCTAATCTGGGCTCTCTTGGAGTTCTTTAGGAGAACCCAGATCGGGTTCTCAAAGAGAACCCAAATCTGGGTTTCTCTAGATCGGGTTCTCCTAAAGAAACCTAGATCTGTGTTCTGTAACCTAAAGAAACCTAGATCTGTGTTCTGTAACCTAAAGAAACCTAGATCTGTGTTCTGTAACCTAAAGAAACCTAGATCTGTGTTCTGTAGGAGAACCCAGATGCAGAACCCAAATGGAGAACCCAGACTAGGTTCTTGATCTGGGTTCTCCAAATAGAGAGAGAAAAAAAAAAGAGGAAGAAGGAAAAAGGAAGAAGATAATGCATTTGTTAGAATTTTTACAAATTTGATAATGTAGTATGTTGTTTGGTTGATAAGAAAATTGGAAACTTTTCTCTAACATTTCAAACCCAGGTCAATCAGAATAGCAAGAGAGAGAAATGAAAGCAGGGAGAGCAAAAGGAAAGCAGAGATAGGGAGAAAGGAAAGCAGGAAGAGTAAGAAATGATGTCTGGAGATATGTCCGGAGATAACGAATTAAGTAACAGAAAGTGAAGGCGTGTGACGGAAGGTGTAGATGGAGAGGGTAAATGTATCATGGTCCTTAATTTATTTGTAATTAATTTTATATAAATTTTTATATTAAACTCGATTAAAATAAAATATAAAATATAAAATTAAAATAAATAAAATATTTATATTTAAAATCTATAAAAATTTATTATATAAAATTTTGTATAAAATTAATTACAGATATCTTAATTAATAAAACTTAAAATACAAGTTAAATAAACCCTTTAATAAAATGAAATATGAGATTCCTATTGAAATGTGAGTGATATCTTCTATGAGTAATGAGGGAGGGAGTTTTTCAATGAATCAAAATAAATTTCTTCAAAATATAGAGGATACTTCTACTTATTTACATGTTCCGAGCTTGGACATCCTAAATATAAGAGGCGCTGCACAGAAACCGCACCCAACACGCCTAACCAGGTAATATAAGTTCTCTACTAATTTCTAACACATGACACGGGACTGACACCATTGATAATAGGGGAAAATACTTCCATCAAACCCACCTCTAATCCAAGCAAAAGATCTCCTACAAATTATCTAAAAAATCCAGTTTTCATTCCAACTTGCTGCATTACTAAGGATGGAATATTTCTCAAGTACAAAATAGACCAAGCTACCACAAAGAACATGAAAGCCCAAACCTCAGCATTGATGTAATTCTGAATACCAGCATATCGGCTTTCGCACATCTTAGTTGAGGTTGGAACCGTGACATATAAGCCCCACCACTTGTAGCATTTCTTCCCAAGATCTTGCACTTTTGGACATTTAACAAAAACGTGGTCAATACGTTCTATTTTCTGGGAGCAGAACAAACAAAGTATCTCACTTTCGTTGAGATGTACTCCTCTTCTTAGTAGTTCAGCTTTAGTTTTGAGCCCGTTTAGGAGCATTCGCCACCCAAAACAACTAACTTTTCATGGGAGCAGTTCGGACCACAGCCATCTACAAAATCTGGTCCTCTAGGATTCTGTTTTGAATTGCCCGTAATGCATAAGTCTTCCTTGATGAGTATTCTGCAGCACCTTCAAAGAGACCAAGTTCTCCTGTCTTGAAAGCTTCCCTTCGGACTGATCTCTCGGATAACAGCCTTAAGCCTACCTTCTTGATCCAATTCCCTGCCAAAAAGAGGACGCCTCCAGCCTATGTTCCTGGACCATGATCTAGAGGACCAAGAGCCCAGCTCCATAATAAGGCCCTGCTTATTAGTAGACAAATTAAACAGCCTTGGAAATAATGCTTTAAATGCTGCTCTGCCGACCCAAATATCCTCTCAAAACTTGATTTTTCTACCCTCCCCTGTAACATTTTTTAGAGACAAAATATTCTTCCATATTCTTGACATGACAGCAGAGCTAGTCCTAGTGATATCCCAACACCATAACCCATTATAGTATTTCTCAACTACAATTTTTTTCCATAGGCTTGACTCATCACTATTGAAACGATCCCACCACTTTCCTAACAAAGAAATATTCCTCTTCGCTAAACACGGGCTACCGAGACCCCTGTTTTTCTATCAACGCAAACTTTTTCCCAACTAAGCCATGTCATTCTCCCTCTTTCCCTCCTACTACCCCACAGAAACCTTCTTTGTAACTTCACCAATTCTTTGAAGCACAATTTTTGGGGCTGTGAAGATAGAAAATTAATAAATAGGCAGAGAACAGAGGACTGACCTTAACAGAGGAGTGACAAGGGAGGGGTTGGGATTGGGTTGTTTTATGAGTGATTAGGGGGTATCTAATAAAATGGTTCAGATTGAAATGTGAGCGATGTCTTTTATGAGTCAGGAGGGAGGGGTCGTTTTACGTAGGGGTGTTCACGGTGGAACCTGTTTGAATTTTAGTATTTTTAGAATCCAAGCAATTATTAGTAAAAGTTTTCAACTAATCTAATTCACCAATATAATAATCGGATGCGTATAGTTTAGTTTGATTGATTGGTTTTTAAAAATATTTTAAAAATATTTAATTAGATTAAAATTTTAAATATTAAATTATTAAAAATATAATTATAAAACACAATAATATTATAAATAATAAAATGATAGTATCAATAAAGCAAATTAAGACATGTAAACTCAAATTATTGTTACTTAAGAAAGTAAAAAGTTTAGAATCGAATTTTTGCTAGTATAAAATATTATTTTAAACATATTTGATTAAGTAAAAAAATTAGAATATCAAA